CAGCTGCTGTTTGGTGAGAGTGAAGCCACGAAAATGAGGTTCCAAGCTTAAAAAATACAAGCTTTCACAAGTTCAAGAGCTAAGGAACAAGATTGGTGAAGAGTGTTTTGGATTTTGATGAAGTTTAGATGGTGCAATCTTAAGGAGAAGGTGGAGAAAATTTGAAAACCCAAACTTAGAGAGAGAGAGAGAGGGCTACTTGGGTGCTGTCGTGCTGATCAGAAATGAGGGGAAGGGTCCCTTATGTTATTAGGGTTTATGACATGTCATTAAGTGGCTTTCTATCATTTAATGACACCCGGTGTAATTTTTCTTTGAGCTATTATCAAGTTTGTTTAATTAACATGTTTCTAAATCAAAATTCTAATTAGTAACTCATAGATACGTTTACTGTTGTTTAACTATACTGTAGTCTTTACGGGTATCCTTAATTGTACTCGGACTTCATAACTTTCTTAATTTTTTCATATCATTGGTCTAATTATGACTTCTTTGGCACATGGTGGACTTATCTTCTTTTGTCTCATCTTTTTCTCGTTTTGAACTCTACCGGCTGCTTCCACAGCAGTACAAAATACCCGGTAGAAGTGACTTTATCAAAATATCCCAATATGGGTATCAGAATTCACAGAATCAAATCCTCTTATCATTTATGGTAATTATATCCTTAGAATAGTCCTCTAACTCAAATTCACTAATTAGGGTTAATCAGATACCTGTTACTGCCTCAACAGTACACACTATTAGGTCAAAACTCACTTTCTCAGAATACCTCCAATATGGGTGTCAATCTTTTCATAATTGAATTCTAAACTCATCTATGAGAGTGATATTATTATAATAACTCTCTAAGTCAAATTCACCTGATTAGGGTTATTCTACAGTCTATTGCTGCATCAGCAGTCAAAATTGACAGGCAGAGATCCACCCGTTTAAAATACCAGCAATATGGATATCAAAATTCATCTAATTTCATCCTCATCTCATTAATGACTCTTAGGTCCTCATAATAACTCTCTAATTTTGAATTATTCAAATTAGGGTTATTATATGAATCAACTTATCTATATAGTTCTACATTTGTAAATTTCATTCATAAACAAGTAAATCCCTTCTCTCACAATCTATCTCTATAATATTATTTGAGCCATATTGATATAATAAACTCATCATCTGTATGGATTTCTTCCTCGTCTCCATTAACAACATGTTTGACATATTTTTTTAAGTTAAAAGCCAAGCTAAATTTAAAAAAGAAAAAGAAAAAGAGAGAGCTTAAAAAGGAGTTAAAAGCTATTTGGTAATTTTATATAGTTGTTATGAGGCTTTCGAAGGAGGGAAGATGAAATAATTTATTATTAGAGTAAAAATAAAATTGATAAATACAAATTTAGAATAAGGGTGTAACTAGAAAATAAATATGAGAATTCTAAAAAATTAGTATATATCTTAAAAAATGCTCATATTGGAAGCTTTTAACTTTTGCTTTTTTTATTCATTATAACAAAAATACTCTTTTTATAATAAGAACTTTTGTTAAATTATGTTTCCTTAAACTTCTACTTATAAAGAAATGAGAAGTAAAAAGACTTCAAGCATGCAATACAAAAATAATTATTTCAAGAAACCTTTTCATGGCCCTAACTATATTATAACCCTAACCTATGAATTGTGAATTTGTAAGCTGATTAAGAACTTAATAATGATTAATAGGGATTAATTAGATAAGAGGTCTAATTGTGTTAAATAAAGTCACTTTTGGACAAAAGTGCAAATAGTGAACGTTTAGGGGTAAAATTGCAATTAGGAAAAAGTCACTCAAAAATTGAAAAAAATATAGTGAGAAACTATTAAATGATCTTTGTGAATGTCAAATGGCTTGTAAGATGGTTTAAGTCATGGTTTATGAAGGATTAATGAAAGGTATAATGGTATTTGTACAAGTGTGAAAGTTTGACTTTTGTCAAACTATGATTAAAGGCTTAAACACTTGATATTTTTCACTAAACCTATCTTCACCATCGAGTTTCTTCTTCTTCTTAATGGAGAGAAGCCATTTTTGGAGCTTGAAAATCCAACTCATCATTAAGCCACCAAAACACTTAGTGATTGCCATCAAAGTTGATCATCTTGTTGTTGTGATCAAAACCCATCTAATAGATACCATTGAAAGGCTTTGTCTTAAGAGAAAACTCAACCTATAGTTGGAGCCATTTTGAGTGTTCTTGAGCTTGGAGGATTATGTGATCTTCTTGAAGCTTGGAAACTACTCCTAACTTACTTGTGAGGAGTTTTGAGCTAAGAATTGATTAAGTTTCTTAAGTTTTCATGAGATTATGAATAACCTAGTTCCTTGAGTAATTTTGTATGTTGTGAGTGGTTTAGGATGGAATTGGACTTGAGTCATGTTGGAAAGAATGATAAGGAAGAGAAATAAATGGTGACAAGTTAGTAAAAACATCATTTAGCACACTTTTGGATTTTAGTGCATAGACCAAGTAATGGTTTCTTGTGTTGTAAGTCATGTAAATGATATTTTGATGGTAGTCTATGTTTGGTTGATTTATCAGTTTGGATCCTATTGGTGTTCAAGTGGGAGACCAAGCATTGGACCAACCTCTGGATCAACGTCTTGATTCTTGAGTGAATTCAAGAATTTGGGGTAAGTTTCTAACTTGATTTCTTGTTGAAATTATTAGTAGTGGCTTGATATTTCTTGTATGAAATGTGTTGTTGATTACACTTATGCCTTTGGAATAGGTGACACCCGTATTTATCTAGTGGTGTCGACCTTGTGGATTGTGTTGTGGACACTTTGATTACAAGGGAAACTTGGAAAGAAAGTTTATTGGAGGTAAGCTTTCGGACCTTGAAATTTATCCCCTATATGTTCCATCTAATGGCTTCATAGTTGGTGTGTATTGCATTAAGATGTGATATAATGCGTTTCATGTGTATATGCTTTGTTGGATGCATAATGGAGTGATACTTGATATGCTGCATATTTGAACGGATCCCTAGCTAGGAGACTGTTGTTTTTATCTATTTAATTCCTGAAAGGGAGATGCCTTTGGAAGTGCTTTGTTAAGAGGACCCCACTCTTTCAAAGTATAATATGGACTTCTGTTAGGACTAGAGTTATGTGGATGCAATCCTAAGTGGGTAAGACCAGAGAAAAGGAGCCTGTTGGGACTTTTCTCGGAGGTGACATATGAGCATTCTAGTGATGGTTGATGGATCAGAGGAATGACTTGATTTTGACAAACAATTGAATTGATATGTGTATGTGTGTGTGCGTGTATGTATTGTATTATATCTGTTTTACTGCTTTTACACCTGAAGTGTACTTAGGGATGAAGGAATCCTCCAAGGATCCCTAATTTACTGAGATTGTTATCTCACCCCATGTGGGGATCATATTTCAAGTACACATATTGTTGAAGTTGAACCTTTCCTTGGCAAGAAGCCTTGTTAGGGAATTATGTCTATGCATCCTTACTTTGGAGTTTTGGAGATAGAATCATGATAAGATTCCTTCTTTTGGATTATGTTGTTGGACATTGTACTTTGATACTATAAAAGTTGTATATTTATCATATTGAATGAATGTATCTTATGATGTAATCTTGGAACAATGAGGATATGTACTTGTATATGGTTATATCTGGAAGTAATGTTCTTGAAGATCATATGGATATTAAGATGGATATTTTAAGTATTAAGAGGCTTGCATGCCTAGGTCATGAGAACAACCAAGGCTGCAAAATACAGCAAGAGAGGCTATCATTTTTGTCATTCAGGGTCTGCTCGCTGCTCGCTGACTTGCTCGCTTAAACAAGCAGTCTAGCAAGCAGAGTAGCGAGTTGGACAGTGGACACTGTCTAAACAGAATTCTGCTCGCTGACTTGCTCGCTTGAGTGAGCAATCTAGCGAGCAGATTTGGGAGATGGCAACACTTACTCCCTCAAAAATTAAATACCTCACTGACTTGCTCACTTGAGCGAGCAAATACGATGGACAACCTCTATTACTATCTTGGAAATTAGTTGCTCGCTAATTTGCTCGCTTTTGCGAGCACAACTAGCAAACACGAAGAATTCGCTAACTTATTCGCTTCAGTGAGGAGTGTAGCGAGCAGGGTGCAAACAGAATGTTGTTTGCTATTCAGTATAATTAATGAAGAGAGTCAGAGTGCTCATAGTTTGAATAATTGTGTGCATTGCAATAAGTTAGTAATGGAAAAAGTTTACTCACCATTAACTAATTTCAGTATCCACGATGTCACTAATTTCACCAACTTTAAGAGCAAAAGTTGCTGTTATGTTACACGTTTAGCTCCCACTATATAATAATAATATGTTGCGATTGCTACCATATGCATGATAATGGAGTATTACACTAACTAGACGTGGGTTCAAGCCCATGGCAGTCTTTTCCTCAACCTCTACCATCCCAAATATCAAGATCTCTTCCCACCATTTTTCATATCGTTCGTTTCGTTCAAAAAGTTTTTTTCCGTCCCTTTTGCTAAATTTATTCTACTCTTTGCGCCCCCCGCCCCCTTATTTTTGTTACAATTTATATGTCAACTCGTATTTGTTTTAAAAAACTCACAAAGGGCCAAAATATAAAAGCAGATATATTATTAGTAATGTCAATAGTAATATAAGTTTGTTTCCAAAAAAATAAATAATAATAATAATATAAGTTGAAAATTTTGAACTGAAATTATCTTACATTTAAATGATATGATAAAAATATACTAAACACAAAATTCTTCAATAAATAAATTTTAAAAAAATACAAGCCTCACTCTTAAGAAATTACAAATGTTAGCGTATTCATTCTTAAATATCAAATACATTAATTTCGGAAGGACTAAAATGATTAAAATTTGCATTTTTATATGAACCAAAATAAGTGATTTGCATTTTTAAGGCGTATTTCATTACAGGATAAAAAGAAGAAAAAACTATGGAGCAGCCAACGTTGATGGCGTCTTACAGGTAAAAAAGCTAAGACGGACGGTGTATCATAGGTGAAATTTTATGCCTACGGCAAAACATCATACCTGTAGGCTGTAACTATGGAATTCACATACCAACAAAAGACCTGCTCCTGCCAAAGATAATAGAATCCAAACCTTATGAATATGTTTTTCAAAATTACAAGCATACAACTTCAGGTTCTTAATAGTCATTAAAATGATATATCATCCAATAACATGGCTCAGCCATGTGTAAAATATCAATAGATCAAAACATCTTGAGCTGAACAAGAATCATGTGAATCTTCTACAAACGTCTTCCCTAAAAGGAGTTTATTCCGTGTAATAATCAATTTGTTCTCTTAATGATGTGGACTCCACTGTCAGTATCCACAATGTCACTAATTTCACCAACTTTAAGAGCAAAAGTTGCTTCTTCAAAGGGCTTCTGCATCTGGCCACGACCAAAAGGACCTGCAGCAAAAAAAAACTAACTGGTTTCAGTTTGATTGATAAGTTATTTTTGAGTTAGGGAGAAAATTTAGGCCAATATTTCACTTCAGATATGAATGCAATGACTGAATGTAGATCGAATCCTTCAGTATTATGATAATGAATTTAATGTACAAGAAGTTCAGTGGTTTAGGGAACTGCATTGATGAAGATGTTATCTTCATAACCAGATAAAGCATGCTAGTTAGTTTTACGCAGATTGAATGATCAGTTGTCTTGATAGGCACTTGAAACGTAGCCCTTTAAAGCGCATTCTAACAATATTTGACTCGCCTACAGCTAGCTAAGGCTAAAAAAGCCCAACATATATATCATCACTCCATCAGATTCAAAGCCAATTGACACAGACTTGGAACAGATGAAGTGCTTCTCGTACAAGTAGCAGCCTTCAGTTCTTCGATTTATATTAAATACAATGGCATAAAGTGTGTATTATTTAGAAACCCTTCATGGACGGGTGGAATTAGAATAGAAGGTTAGGGGTTAAGTTATTTTTTTTTTTTTAAAAAAAAAATTGGTTTTCATACTTAAAAAAATTACAAAAAAAAATTTTTCTTCAGTTCCACCCGTATTTGTAGAGAAGATAAACCAAATTACTTTTACAAAGTGGTAAAAGTCACGTTGATTTTATACTCCATTCAGAGAAGAGATCTAATATATGTGATATGCATTCAGTAAATTAGGAGTGATATAGAAAAAATTCATATAAAAATCGAATGTGATGTCAGTGTGTGCCTGCATGAGATAGATGGGGCGCACAAAAAGTGATCTTTGATGTAATATGAGGAATTCCAATGGAACAACAACTGTTAAAACAGCAACAGAAAGAATGTCATAACAGTCAAGTTTGATGTTTTGTTAAATACTTGCAAGTTTGTTGATAAGATACTTAAAAAAATCAGGTAGCATCAAATGATGAACCTATTCTTCTTATTCTATTTTTTGGTGGGTGGGGGCAGGAAAATCAAAACTGGTGCTAATGAATGAGAAGGCACAGCAATAACCGAGTCCATCAGGGTCCAAAATTCTTGTTCTGTTTTGTTGCAGTAAGCAGACAAGAATCCCTCAAATAACAAACAAAACCACTCCAAAAGTCCAGGTTCCTTGTACAATACTTGGAACAAAAAGATCAGCCACAAATCTATAAACAATGGGCTTTTGAGCTAATTATAGTTGAGATGTTAACAAGTAACTGTCAACAATTGGTTATTCTGTCATTAATATCAATCTGCTGGTTGTTGAGTTCTGAAAAGCCTTGAGGAGATAAAACCAGGACCAAGCACAGAACAAGAAGTGGCTCAATGGTGGGTTTAAGATCCTAGCTTATGATGCAAAATCATTTATGCTCAACAAAAATTATTTATGATTCAAAATGATCCTAGCTTCAAAAGATACAAAGCATGTGAATCAAGATTTTGGTTACCAATCTCACTTAACTAACTTAGACATAGATTCTGATAACAAATTACAATTCAACAAATTACAGTAAGTATTAACTCTCTTCATACAAAATAAGATCTCAATATAATATACAGATGGATCTCCTAGGGTTCACATCATTATCCCCAAAAAATTCACTTTTATGCACAATTGTTCGGATAATTAAATCTAAAAGCACTTTTTTTTTTTCATTTTTCATATATATTTTTTTTAATTATAAAAAAGAAAGAAGTTTCTTTTGTAGAGAGTTTCCTCTGTACTGACCAAGATCGCCGCCACGCTTAGCAGAGCTGCAATCAGAGAAGCGAGACGCAACGTCCTCGAAGTTGGCCTTGCCAGAAACGATGTCGTCGCGAAGGGCCTTAAGCTGAGAAACAGCGCTTTCTCTGGTGGTGTTCTTGATAACACGGCCTTCTGGATCCTTCCACGAAGCCTTCCTTCTAGAACCTTCGTGCTTTATCAATATGTGCGATGCCCTAACCTCACCGCCTTGTCTGTTCGACGACGATGACATCTTTGTCTTCTTCTTACGGTTTTCCTTCTCCGTTCGATCCGCCGCAGAGATCGACGCTTTCTTCCTCTTCCGATCGGACTCTATCTTCGCCGTTCCGGTCACCCTAGGGCTAGTTAGCACATAAAGAAGAGAACTGAGTTAACTCACCAAGCTTTCGTATTTATAGAGTGGTCCAGGCTGAAGCGTCCGTTCAAGTTGAATCATGCGGTTCAGATTAAATATAGATTCTGTTTTGTTTTAAGAATCAAACCCTTACATTCTTTTTTGTCACGTGGGCACGGGGCTTTTTTTAATAAAAATATTTTCAGTATTGAAGTGGAAAACTTAATTTTTTTAAGCAATATTTATTGAAGTGAGTCACTTTATTTTTATTTTTTTGGTATATGGGAATCGAACTTAAAGTTTTTCCCACGTCTACTTACTTAATATGTGTTATAACCTATGAAGTACTGACACTTCAAAAATTCTGACATGTCGTGTCCGACACTTCCCGACACTCTCGGACACTCCGACACTCCCCGACACTTCAACACGCGTTAAAGAAATTCAAAAAAAGGTTCAAAGGTTGCGTTGCGTTGAGTTTTTAGTTTCAACTATTAGATTCATTGGATTACGATTATCATTTTATTGAGTTTAATATAAATATTTGAGATATCTTATGTTTCTTTGCAATATTTATGAATATTATAAGTTTAGATTCATGTTTTTGTTAAATTATTGAATATTAAATATAATATACACTACATAAATTAAAAATGTTATTTAATATCAAAACGTGTCTTAACGTGTCGAAATCTAACATTTTTTAAAATTAACGTGTCAGAGTGTCGTGTTGTATCGTGTCACGTGTCTCGTGTCGGTATTGGTACTACATAGGTTATAACTGAGCTATATCTATTAAATAATTATTATTATTTTTTACTTTAAATAAAAGAGTACTGTATCTTTGCCATTGTATGAAACTCATGAACATTCAAGACGCTTATATACTTTACGAAGGATGAAGGAGTATACTTTAGAAGATTTCCTAAGTCATAACGTTTCATAATTCATACTTCTTCAATTAATGACTTCATGTAGATTTTTTTATAAATATTTAAAGTTTTAAATTTCACAATTAAAATTTTTTTATTTGAAATTATCCATTATTATATTTTAACAAATATTGAAATTATTTAATTTCATAAATAGTCAAAGTCGCTTTTACCTTTTGTTTTTGTATATTAGGAGGGCCAAAGCCCTAAAGGAAAAATTTACCAGAGAGAAACAAAATATAAAATTCAGAAAGTAATAATATTTCAGTTAAAGAAGCACTCCCCTTTAGGGAAATACTTTAGATGGTGTTATATCAAATTTGACATTAAAATCTAATTTGAGAATGGATCATATGATATTATATCAGATGATTTCAGTTATTTATAAACAAATTAATGATTATTTTTTACTCATTCTTTATCATAACAGAATCAACTCTGCCTAATTTTGATTGCCTCGGCGTCCCAATACTGTCTTAGCTTTCATGTTCTTTCCAAATTTCAAGGTTTCTGCACTTTGAGGCCAACATTAGCAGTGGCGGAGCCATGTGGGGTGGAGGGGGTGCCTTAACCCTAGCTTATTTCAAAATTTAGCCATGTTTTAAACGTGACGAAATAACTGTGGCTAAATAATCATCCACATTTTACTATTTGTCCTTAGCCCTAGCTGAGTTAGAAGGCTGGTTCCGCCACTAACCATCAAACTTAGAGCATCGATATTGACCAATCTCAACACCCTAAATGACAACACATCACTAGAAAACTTGCCAAAAAGGTTCCCAATATGATGACTAAAATAGGTTTCCAAACTTCTAAACCTCATCTTAGAAAACCAACCAAGTGTTAGATATATCACTCTGATTTGTCTCAGCCACCAACTTTCAATGCCAAAACCACCCACATACGCCTTCATATGCCACCCCAATTGTCTATGCATAGGCTTCATATGCCCTATGAACCACCAAGAAAACCAACCACGGTGTTAGATACATCACTTCAATTTGTCTCAACCACCAACTTTCAATGCCAAAACCCTTCGCACACACCTTCACGTGCCACCCCAATTTTTTATGCATAGGCTTCATGTGCCCTATGCACCACCACCTTCATTGTCATGTTCCCCCGTACCACCCATATGTTACTCTTGTTTCTATCATGTTAGCCCAAGTCATTGACTACCATGTGGCTTACGTACATCACATCAACTACCACATCATCAAGTGTCATGTTAGCCTTGGCCTGTCATGTCAACAAATGTTAACCTATAACCAACTTTAACTTTGACTGTTGATTATAAATGACTTTGACTAATTTTTAAAACTTAAAATAGTGTAATTCAAAACAAGACCAGGATTCACCTCATCCATTCATTACGTGAAATCTAAGATGTTATCTTGGATCTTCAACCTTCACGATTGCATGACAACTTTGTTAACTCACTTCTTCACAATTCATCATATATTAAATTCTGCAATTAACTTTTAAAAACTCAAAATACAATGTTAGATGACATGGACTCACTTGTTTATTATCATAAAAATTGAATAAAGCGTGGGACCCAACAAGCTTAAAAATGGAATTCTAGAGGAAACATGATATTAGCTATTTCCTTGATTTTTTTTATTATAGTGTCCCACAATGAGTTGGATAACCCAATGGGGACGCTGGAGGGTATTATGCATGAAGAGTTTAATAAGGATATTTCACATGATAAAGAATGTAATGAGGGTAATAAACATAACAGTGAGATTTCTTTCAAGGTTATCCTTGATTTAACCCCTTACCAGCATGTTGATCTTTTGTCTTTGTTCTTTTTTTTTGTAAGCCTTCAATATTTGCCAAGTCTTTTGCTACCCAAATTCATAATTCCCATGCCAACACTAAATATAATCTTGCTCTAGGTAATGATTCAATATAGAGGAGCTAACATCTTTTAGAAGCACATTTCAACCTCTCTTATTAGGTTCCAAATCTGTAGGTCCCAAAATATTCTTAGGTTCCTAGAGTTCCTCTTGTCACTACAAGAAAATTGGTATTTGAAGGCGATTCTTTCGGCTCTTAAATTTATTCGAGGTGGTTGACGTGAAACCGCTTCTGAATGTATACTAGAGGCGGTTAAAATAACCGTCCACATTGACCATTTAGAGGCGGTCTAAGTAAACTACCTCTAAATGTAGCAATTAGATGCGATTTTATTGTAACCTCCTTTAAATGATAACCGGGGGGAAATTATTTTAACTGCCTCTAAAGCACATTTAAAGCCAGTCCATGGCCTATCGGACAATGAGATTCAAAGAAGGAGATCTCTTTGTTCAGCCGTTGGATCGTCCTTAAATTGGTCAGTGTGTTCTTCTCTTGTAATACTTTAATCTGACCGTTCAAAGATGGCTGTTGCACATTGAAAAAATCATCTCACTTTCACTTTGAAATCCCACATTAGATGGCTTTTGCTCCTCTTTCTCCATTCCCTTTATATAAGAACTCATACTAACACACACCTACACTTGAATACAAGTACACTATTATTTATAATCTTACATTATTCTTATATTTTTTTTAAATAAAATAAGAAATATATATTTTAATTTATACTTTTTATCTTTATTTTTCTATTTAAATAAAATATAAAGGTGATATATAAATATTGGCATGTAAATATTTATGGTATTTAAACTACTTTCTTGAAGGCGGTTACAAGTTATTTGGAGGCGATTAATATAACCGCATTAAAATGTCTTCTGAAGGCAGTTAAAATAATCGCCTCAAAATATCTTTTGGAGGCGGTTAAAATAACACCTCAAATTGTCATTTGGAGGTGGTTATTCAAGCGGTTTGTGAAAATCACCGCATTTTGCATTGCATTGATGGTAAACAAAGCGGTTCATGAACCGCCGACCCAAGCATTTAGAGGCAGTTTTAACCGCCTCAATTTCCTAAAATAACTGCTCTGTATGCCTGATTTCTTGTAGTGTGTTTCTCTATCGCTAGAGGAGATCGATATTGTCCTGCATGATGAGTATGTTGACTCTTTTTCTCTTTCTTTTCACCACTAATTTGCGAAGTAGGAATATGTCCTACTTCAAATGCTACATAGATCATAGTGAATGACTTTTGTTAGTTAGATTCAGTGGCAGAACCAAGGGAGGGGCAAAGGTCGATGTCGCCCTTCGTAAATTTTAATGTTTATTATTATGGTTAGAATTATTATAATTATCTTGGAATATCTGTAAATAATCATATAATTATATGCAGATATTAATTTTCTTTTTTATTAGGATTTGAGTTAGGCCTTGGGTTTCTACTTTAAACCCATTAGTTTCTCTATATATTGTACTCCTTTATACATATAGAATACAGTCTAATATTAAACATCATTCATTTTCTCAATTATAATTTTTCTCAAGTTAATATCAAAGCTTGTGTTCTGGGAAACCTTGCTTCTACATAAAAACCTTGTTATGTGTAAGAACTCGCACCGTTAATTAAGGTATTTAATTAATTAATTATGTGAAAATAGGAAATGATTCCGTAATTGACCCTAATAATTATTTATGAGGCTTAATAACCATAATAAGTGATTAAGAATGCTGAAAGTCGCTTTTCGAAAGAAAAGTGCAGATACCGGTTCTGCTAGTCGGTATAAATGTGTACCGAAAAAGTATCCCGAAAAATTAATGTAAGTGCATGATAATTACTAGAATAATATGTAGGACTTGTAAAACGAGTTTCAAGTCCAAATAATGAGAACTGGTGCTAGAAACCGGTACTGGCTTTGAAAAGCGCGTACCGGAAAGGTGCTCAAAAAAATATAAGAAAAATATGATAAATCTTAGAAAATTATGTAGTTTCATAATCCAAAGTTTGGGATTAAAATGCTAAGCGTAGCAATTAAAGTTAATATTGTGTGTTTAAGTGACTTGTGGCTATAAATACCCATTTCTAAGGGCACAATGCCCTAGAAAACAGATTTTGAACGTGAGAGTTGAGGGTGGCTGATCAGCTTGGCTGACTTGTGGGGTTTCTTCTCCATTTTGGGTCCAAGGCACTTCCTTTCTTGTTTTTCCTTCATTCTTCCTTTGTAAACACTTGAGAGTGAGCTTGGTGA